AGCTCAGCTCTGAACTCTGAGGAGATTTTGGAGCAGGGTCAGAAACAGAGGTGAATCATTAATGAAGCATCATTAACCATCAGCCTTCCCATACTCTTGTACACTAGCACCAGCTGCCCACTGTCCATTTTCCCCTTGCCACAATGAGGATCCCCAGGCTGAAGGTCACCTGCTGGCTGGATCAGTCTGATAGAGCAGCTGGGGTTCCTGAGGTGCTGCAGCAATCTGTGTCACTCTGTCCTGCCCCTGTCCATCAGCTGTGGAGCAGCAAAGTTCTGTCACCAGGCACAAATTCACCCTTTGCTGTTGCTTTTGCTGCTCCTCCATTCAGAGCTGCTGCTGCCAGAGCCTTGAATGTTCTCTAAGTAGTGACTGTCCTCTGCTAATGCAGATGTATTTATTTTGTGAGTTAGCTTAATTGTGTTCTTGGTGTGTGTTTTCTGTCATGTTTTGGATGCAAACAAGGGTTCTTGGTCCAGTTCATTTATTCTTTTAATACCAGGACTGGAAAACTGCCCTGGATCATCTCCTGGATTGGACAGGAGCATCCTAATAGAGTAGTTACTTCCACCACTCTGCCTGGGAAACTCTTCCATGCTCTAAGGCATCCAAAAGCCAGATTACCCTCCAGTCAGGCCACACTTTACATTAAAAATTCAACAGGCTCTTTTCTTTATTCTCCCTTCCTTCATCACACACCACTTTTCCCTGTTTTCTGACTCATCAAATCCATTATAGAATATTCTATCCCCAGTCAGAGGCACGAGCAAGACCTATTGAGACACAAAGTCTAATTGCTGGTATTCAATAAATTCACTTCCAAGTGAACAACTTGTCTTCTTGCAGGCTGTCTTGGATGCCTGGTTTCAGTCTCTTCCTTTTCTCATGGGTGATGGTTGATGGGACCACTCAAAAAAAAAACGTCTATCCAGGCATGAGAGAGACCAAATATTTCCCATCCCTCAACAGCCACTGACCCATCTGTCCAAGAACTGGCACTGGCTGCTGTGGGTGGCAAGGGGAAAGTTTAACATGTGGGCTAGCAGGAAAACTTTGGGGTTTCCAGAGAACTGCCTTGGGGTTTGAATAAATCTTCTGGCTGGGGAATACTGGGATAAAGCATGCAGCACTTGTGAGCATGGACAGTGGGGGATGTGGGTGTATTCAGACAGAGCTGAGGTGGTCAGTGATTGAATCTTTAGGTGAATGTTTAGTTTTGGTCGCCTTTTGATGAATCAGGATGTCTTTTATGAGGCAAAATTAATGCAAGTGTTTCTCTTTTTGTAGTGGCCACACTGCCCAGGAAATGAAATGTCATAAGGGGAAAAAAGCTCATTAGTTTGGTGCTGTAAATGGTTCTCTCAGGTCTCAGAAACCCTGTGATTAACATAAACATAGACAGAGGCAATTACAAGCAAACACACATATTAAACCCAGCTTTCCATCTAAAAACATGGTCTGCAACATCTCTCTGTGGCTGTTCACAGCTGTGGTGACCTAGAGGAAAGGGACTTTTCATACCAATCATGACAGAAACTGAAGACAGAGGAAGGAGAGCAGCCAACCCAGGGTGAATGTGAGGACAACAGAGTAATATAGGGTATGTAATATAGTCCCCAAGGTACTAGCTAAGGGATTTGTGATTTACCCTCAGAATTGCATCCTTTTTTGTAGCAATTTGAAGCAAATGGTACCCTGTTGTGTTTCCTTCACACTGAAATCCTCAATTGGGTGGTTGCTGTTGTGTGGACATGTTGATACTCCTTAGGACAGAGCAGAAAAGTTCCAAAGAGCTGTCTCAAGGCTTTACCTTGCAATGGCTGAAAAAATGGACATCTTACTAGGTTTTCTAGTGAATTCCATGAAATCCATCAGCAGGTAATGCTCAGGAAGAGAATGGGAACAAGAGAAGATGGGAGGAGTGGGACAGCATCACAGACTCATGTATTTGTACCCAGCTGTGCACTTTTTACTCTGCATTTCTGCCCTTAGCCTTGAGATTTATTCAGGATAGACCCAGATGTGAAGAATGGGGTGTGTTTTGTAAAAACCAAAGCTTGGTCTCTTTGCCTGTCACTGTGGCAACCGTGTCAAGAGACAACTGCATTGATGCCACATTGTGTAAATAGTGAAGGAGACCGAGGTGCTCAGGCAAGGTCAGGCAGAAAGCCCAGAGTCCCACCAGGCACCCTGGCTAGCAAAAGTCACCTCAACTACAGCAGTCCTGTAGGAATATCCCCCACAGAGTCCTGGCAGTCTAAAGAGCAGCTTGAAGCATCTCTTCTCCACTGTTTTTAACAGGTATTTTCATGACTTTAGGTGCTCCGTCTGTTCAAGCAATAACACAATCCACTCTGAATGCAAGGCTGACATCCTGCAGAAATGAGTTGCACAGGCTGATTACTTGTTGCATGATAAAAATAAATTGCCAGCAGCTGACTCTGAGAAGCCATGGGGAAAAAAAAAAAAGAAAAATAAAAAGTAGTGTTATTTGTTTTCCCAGAAAAGAGAGAGGGGGCAGTGAAGAAACACAGTTCACAGTCCTGCCTAGTGCCCTCTCCAGCAGGGGAGAAAGGCGTGGAAGTTTAACTCACCTGGTGGGGCAGAGCATGCTCATGAAGGTTGCAGCTTTGGAGATTATGAATCCTCTAAGAACCTTCAAAGAAGGGTCCTGGGGATTTGTATTGTTTCTGGTGCACAAAAGGTTTTTATCTAATGTCTAACCCCTGCCTAAGAGAACCATGGATTTCGGTCACCTATTTGACCTCTGGAGTAGTGTTATGATGTCATCAGTGTTACAATTTTACACAAAATTAGCTGTGCAATTGTGTGTTAAATAGTGGTAGTTAGCTTGGATTGCTCAACTAACGAAGCAGGCAGCATTAAAGCTGTCACATATGGACTGCTCCAGGGCACTGGCACTATAAGGGAGTCTGAAATCACTCTGACTTCACTGGAAGAGAAGCATCCCTTTCCATTCTCTGGCTTCCCCTCAGTGGGACAGGCCCCCTCACCCAGCTCCCAGCCCAGCAATTTGCTCTGGAGCTTATAAATCTGGTTCCCTGCCCAGGGAGTCCTGTCCAGGTGTCCCTGTAGGCTCAGACAGGTGGCAGAAGCTGCTAATGACCTCTAATGTGTGCCCAAGTTTTGCTTAATTAAGAAAAGGCTCTCTAATAGCATTTGCCACCATCTCCTGATGGCTCTGGGACCACTCAGGCTGTGGCAGCACAACCAGCCAGGCTTCTCTGTGGTGTGTGATATCCTAAAGAGTGCAATGGCATAATTTAAATAAAACATAATTTTATTTTCCATCATTAAGGGACTCAGCCTGGGACAGGCTCAGTCCAGCATGCAATGTGGCCCTTGGCTAGTTGGTCTGACCCCTCCTGCATGGCTTGGAGCAGAAGTCCCAGCTGGGTGGTCACTGTGGTGCAGTCTGAGGTAATGTGGGTAAAATCTTATCCAGTGTGAGGATTTGGCTCAGGGTCTTACTAGTGAAATTCCTGACCAATATCACAATCAAAACACTTAGTTGTTGGCTATATTAATTTGATCCCAGCAGATGCTACTTCACCTTCTAAACCATAGTTATTTCAGAGAGGTAGAGCCTCATCTTGTTGTTCATTCCCCAGTACTTAACTACAGTGGCTGTATGGAAAGAGCAGAATTGTTCTTGGCATTCAGACTGCTCTGATCACCACAGAGTCAGGGCAAGGGCTGGGGAACCTTCCCCTCCTTCCTCCTCCCTTCTCCTGGACCACCTTCTTGTCCAATTTGCTGTCCACCAAAGCAGCCAAAAGCTTCATCAAACATTTCCACCTCTTATTTTAAGCAAGGTCCTTGTCTGCAAGTCCCAGTCCTGAGCCAGCATCTGAGCAGGGCAGCAGGATCCCAGCAGGGAGGAGGTGACAGGAGCACCACTTTGGCCAGTCTGCCTGGCCAGCTGCCCAACCAGGGTGTGAGTTTGGCCTGGGGCTGTGTCATGGCCCCTGTGGTGGGCTGACTCCAGATGGAATGCCCAGTCCCTCAGCACCCTCGTGCCTGTCTGCACGCAGATGGATTTTGGCTCCTATCCATGTCAGTCTTCCCCTGCAGCCACCTCTACAGTATTTAAGTATTCTCCTGGTTCACCACTATGCAAATATTGAAATTAGCCCTTTGCATGATTATGGAGACAGTGACATTAGAGACTTTCTCAGATTATGTGCCTTCTCTGCTGACAGTATCAGCCATCAGGTTTATTTTTCTGTGAACTAAAGAATGGCCCCCAGTGTATGAAAACTTCACAATGAAGTATTTGGTATCTGGAATATTTTTTTTTCCCTTAAGCCTGTATCGGAATGCATTAAAACCACAAAATGTTGTGCTGTGAAAGAATGTAAAATGCAGCCTTTATAGGAATGGCCCAATTCTCAGAGACCAGTATTTTTAACTGAGCCTCACAAAAGCCAGAAGAAATTAAGAAGGGCTACAAGGGGAGCCATAGCCCCACTAGCAGGTCCAATATGGCCTGAGATACTGAGAGAAGGCAACAGATCCCATACCCTGAGGTGAAACAAGGAAGTCCTTGGGTAGGGATCTAACTGGCCTTGGGATAGTAATTTCTCCATGGGAAAAGATATCTTTGTCATATCAGTTACATTTCCACAAAATGCTGCATTTACATCTCGTACTTGTGCTCCATTCAGACACCTTCCCTAAGAGCCCCACCTTGCAGAGAGCTGCAGAACAACCAAAACCATGTAATGAGCGTGGATGTGCTTAAACAATACCCATTTTCTCCCCAAAAAATACTGCTATAAGAACACTGGACACACCTATTACCTTTTCTTGAACTACTGATGATTTCTTGCCCTTGGTGTGAATCCTTTGCAGCGTGGAGCAGAGCTAAGCCTGATTAGCCAGCCTCACCTTTTGCCAGTGGGGCTAATGGGGTTTATTCTCCATTCCAACACACTGGTCTCTCATCCCCATTATTTTACATCTCACCTCAAGTTAACAAATGTCCATCCTCAGAGCACACAGGGCACGGCTAAACTGGATATTATGTGCTCTGCCATGTTGGATGGGCAGTGACAAAAATTATCCCTCTTCCCCCAGGTCCTTCCATCGTCCCACTGCAGCGAGCAGAGCCAACACTGGGCAACCCTCTAAAATGTTTATTTGGACCAGTGGCCGGGGATCTACATCTTACAGACATGATGAGAAAAGGTAAAGCGCCTGTGCTGATTGTCTCTTATGGGTTTGAACATTTGTGAGTGTGGCCCCTGGCTTCTCCCCAGTTGGAGAAGCAGGAGGGATGCAAGGGTGTCCTCCCTGTGCCCCACAGCCCCAGCTGCTGCTCCACCAGGCACAGGAGCAGCCAGGAGTGCCAGGGATGCTGTACCAAGCCAAAGCAGAACCAGGGGCAATGCCAGAGCCGTGGCCAAAGCTTTTCTTGTTCTCAGACATCAGCAGCACACCACGACCATCTCTGATTCAGGTTCAAAAGCACAGCAATCCTCAGCCACGGGTGTGCAGCCCCTGTGAAGCTTTCATGCCTTCTACAAGTGTCCTGATTCCAGCCACCAACCACGCTGTCCCCCAGGCAGAGCATTGCCCCACACAGCTGTTACACACCTAAATGATACATCCAGCTGCCACAGATGTTTTCTGGTTGTGCAAGTGCACATGTGAGGATCAGGCTGTGTACAATACATTGCACAGTAGCTGGGGGCTGTTTAGCTGCTTGAAAGTGGTGCTGCTGGAGGGAACAGGCTGAAGGAGACAGAGGAATAAATGAGTTACTGGATCTCCCAGGGGAGCAGGGAAATGTGCCAAAGAGTAGGGAAGGGGAGGTTTGAAGTCCACAGACAAAGGCAGTGCTCAATTGGGAACAAAAGTTAAATATCAGTGATGAAATAACAATTGTCAGTAATATTCAGACTCATCCTTCCAAAATCCCTCTCCTTTGTAGTAAGATTTGCTGGACAGCTTGTCTTGTCACAACAAGGACACATTTGCCTTTCTTTTCTTTCCTTGTCCCCTTTCCACCTCTCCTTCAGTTTGTCTTGCAGCCACTATTAAATGTAATCACAAAAAATCACACTCCAGTGAAACAAAACCAGATATCAAATGTATCTACAATGCCAATTAGCAAAGCACACTCTTCAGTAATTCTAATGAGACATTACTGTTGTCATCTGCTTGGGAATATGCACTCCTGAATTCAGGCAGCAGAGCTACCCTCAGGACCCTGAGATTCTTTGGAGAATTGGCTGATTTGCTGAATGTTTCTGCAAAGGTTGCATAGGTGTTCAGCTCTTTGGGTTATCTGATCCCAAGCAGATATTTTGAAGACAGCATGAACTTTAGCAGCATGAACTTTGCAGCATGAACTTTCATTGGAGCTGGTTGTCTAAATGCCTCCTGTACTTCTGCCAGCCTCTTCTTTAATGGAATTTTCCCCAGGCTAATGTCCTGCATTAGAACGCTGTCATGGTCCAGGGTTAGACACTTGGAGGAGATATCTGCACACCCTTTGGGCTGGCTGGAAGTTCCTGATTAGCACAGCCTTTGACTCTCACTATGTTTGAAGCTAGGCTTATTAACTTGGGCTGAGGCTCACCAGAGTCTGGGCAGTACAAATCCAGGCAGAGCTCCTGCCTGCAGAAACAGGGAATAGGGAGCAATATCTCTGTGCCTACACACCAGCCATGGTAAATTCAGATATCTTGACAAGCCTTTGGGTGGGTTTATTTCCCAAGAGGTTCTGTAGAGCTGTACAGAAGGACTTCTTCTGTACCTCATGAGTGATTAATAAAATGTAGAGGGAAAGGGAGGAAAAGAGGATGGAAATAAGAGAGTGCTGATGGCAGCCTGAGGACTGCAGAGGAGAGGTGTGAATACAGAGCAAGTGCTGTTAGTGGGAGAAACTCATCCTCCAGTGTCTGGCAGTGATTTTAACACATGTAAGGTCACCAGTGCCATCATTATCAAACAGGTGGTGCCTTTCAGAGAAATTACTCACCTTAAATGACCCTTTCCCAAGAATTTTGTGCTTTAAACTTCAGACAGGAAGATTGTCATATGGATCAGCAAGCTTGTCACCCAACATATGCTACAACCACAGACTTCTGAGGGGTTGCACAATAATATTAACTGTGCTGCAATGAGCCACTTGCTCTAAAGGAATCACCTCCTCCTGGGTGGAAGGTATCTCTCAGGCATCTCTTTTTGCAGGATGAGCACCAGAATATCTGGATTTCATTGCTGTTTTAGCCATTGATGATTCCCCAGCTGCCACATTTTATGCTTTGGCAAGCTAGTCCAGCCCTCATTCTTTCTCAGCTGTCAAAGCGATTCTCCACACCATTGCAACCACTGGAAAAACAAAGCACTGGTTTGATTTGGCTTGATTTGGTTTGGTTTGGTTTGGTTTGGTTCAGTTTTGTCCAGCTTGGTGTGGAAGAGGGAAGGAATTGAGTGAACAAATCTGTTAATATCTATTTTGTGGGCTTCAGAGAGATTTCCTGTTGCCATAGATCTACCAGCAAAAACCGGTGCAGTCAAATAGATCTGTAAAGAAAAATGTAAAGAAGGTGACTTCTGAGCAGAAAAATCCCTGAACACAGGGAATTCTGCAGATAAGACACAGGAGTAGTTTCTGACCATTGCATTTGAGGATTTCTGATCTCAGTAAACACCTCACCATGAGGTAATTTGAGTGACATCTGCATAACAACTGTGATATCAGAGAAGGGAATGTGAATTCAAAGTCATCCTGAATTATTCAGGCAGGCATCCCTGCCTGACAAGCCCCACGACTGCGTGGTGCCAGAGGAGGCAATGTCTCCCTTGGTGTCACACCATGGTCCCTTTGCAAGGGGAGGGCTTTGAAGGTAGGTAATCTATGTTCATTTGGAATAAATAAAGTAATTGCAGGTGCCTGGTAATTCTAGCTTTCCCATGAGGACACTTGACACTCTTCACAGAGCTCTTAGTAGTGCTCATTCTGGAGCAGGAGGTAGGGAAGGATCTGCTGACCACACTGCAGAGGGATCCCTGCACTGCTGCTGTGCAGGGACAGGGAGAGGGAAATCTCTGCCTGTCCCCAGCAGGCACAGTCATGGCTGAGCTCTCCTCTCTGGCATCTGAGCCAGGGGAGAGCAGCCAGTCTTTACCCCTGAGCAGCTTGGCAGAAAGGACAGGGAAATTTAGCAGGGGAGAACTTCAGCTTGGAAATTATCAAGGGCACAAAGACCTTTTCTCCTTGGGGGCTTGCTTGCTATTAAATGCCTTTGCAGAGGTCAGGGAGACCCCCTGTTCTGAGAGATGGGGCCACTTTAAACACCAACAGCCCCCCTGGATGTCATACGGGGAGTTATCCAGGGAATCACAAGGATTAGATGGAGTCACTTGGTGAGCAGTGCCTGGGATGCAGTGACCTGTACTCAAACACAGCCCAGCAGGCAGCTGGCCGTGGCTGTGCAGCTCTGGGATCCAAAATCAGCCAGATAAGCAGGGCATTCATTATTCCAGCTGGCCGAGCAGAGGGAGGCCCCTGAGCTGTGCCAAAAGTTCACAGGTACACGAACCCACCCCCCCAACACTGCTGAACTCTGATGTGCAGGGCACTGCTGCTGCCCCAGTGAGGGAGATGCTGAGACTGCTCTGCTTGTGGCCAAATACTAAGCAACACATATTGTATTCCCCAAACCAGGGCTCTCAGAGACAAAAATGTGAAGTTTTGTAGCAGCAGATGCTCCCAGCATCACACAAATAGAATTGGCACCTCCCCAGGGCAGGCACAAGCATGAGGAGGAGGAGGAGGAGGAGGGAAGGCTGCTCAGCGCTGTCTCCTGGGCTGTGGCAGGACTGCTGTCATGGGCTGGCATGTGCCACACCACCACCCACCCCAGCAGGGTCACCAGGCTGACTCCTGGCAGAAATTCAGGAGAAAAAAGCCCTGAGGTGTAGCAGGCTATCACTTTGCCGTTGTTGGGGGCTTTGAATAACAAATATTTACAAAAGAGCATTGGAAGCAGTGCTCCAAGCCTGACCTCTGGCAGAGCTTTCTTTAGTTTTATAACCTATAGTGAGTGAGCTTGGAGGATGCACCTGGCAGGTGGTCACCAGTCACCTCTGCCAGGCAGCTCATTTTCACTACACACCCTTCAGTCCATCCTTTTTGTACCTCTGATGGCGTGTTCATTGGCCAAAGGCCAAGTGGGAAGCACTTGTAACCACTCTCAATTAGTTATTTGTTTTCAAATTGTCCATTTGTATCCCTTTGATGTCCAATGACATTAGTGAGTGATTGCACTGGGCCTGTTTTATGCCTACACGTTGACATAAGTTATGCTGTGTGATCATTTAATGTTCTGGAACTGCATGACAATCTCTGCCTTCCTGTCTGCTTCCATTTGGGAGCAATGCAAATCCTAATGACAGCAGTTAAATACAGTGTGATAAATAATAATAGAAAAGTAACATTAGGTTATTACTCTGTGTTACTTCTTTGAAGGCAATTGCATCTACCAGTTTACAATATATATTTTTTTTCCCAAACAGCAGAGGAAACCTTGACAGGCTGAATTACCATTTCATTTCCAAACAGGAAAACACTGACAAGCCTTAAAGGATGGTTTTGAAGAGGAACCATGGACACCTAAAGATGTATTCTGCAGTTGGATAAAAAAACCTCAAGGGTTGTTAGGTACAGGAGACTATTGACAGCAGTACTGTCTAAGCAAGATTTTTGCTATAAAACCCCACACCATATGTGCTTTTCCTGGCTGTGACTCATCATCTAAATAGAAATTCAATTCCAGTCTCAGGGAGTCTATGATTAAACATATTTTTTGCTGTTGCTTCTACTGTGTTTATGTATGATTTTACATCTGTCTTATCTCTATTTCTTTATCCTTAATAGCCAATGTAAGTTCTCTGGTTGACCTGGCTCAGTGATTTTATTTTTTTCCTCACGGGTGAGTGAAATTTGGTGGCTTCAGCTGAGAGGAGTGGTGGGTTTGCTAGAGCCCAAAGTGACGTTGATGTTGCTCACCTGCCATTTTGCAGAGAGTAGAAGAGGAACTTCTCCCACTGTGTCCATGTTATGGTGGTGCCAGGGCTCAGAGCTGTGCGGTTCACATGCTTCGGGTGCTGCCTGGATGATTCAAAAGATCCATAACAGAAAACACAGGAGATTTTGACCAGCCTCAGGTCTGTAAGTACATTTTAAACCCACAAAGTTTGAGTGTGTTTGAAATGTACTCAAATATTTCCTTCTCCACCATTGTGTCCTCATGACCCATTGAATCATCAAAGGCTCGGAGATGAAAGAAGGACTTATGGTTAGAAAATGCAAAGGACTCTCTGCTGAAGGGGGAATGGTTTGTTGTATCTTCTTTTTCTCTTTTTTTTCTTTTTTTTTTTTTTAATCCCAGAACAAATAGCTCTGGTGGATAATTCTCTGTGAGGGCTTTCACTGTAATGAGTAACTGGCCTTCCAAAAATCTGTTTTATGAATACAGTAAATAAGCTCTCAATCAGAAAAACCCACAGAAGTCAATTGCAAAATCCCTATAGTGTTTCATGAGCTTTGAGTCACACTCAGGGTGGAAAATTGCCCGAACCAATAGCCTGTAGTTAGCCAAAAGAGAGCATGGTCCTTTCAGATAATATTAATGATGACTTCAGGCTATTTCCTACATGTGGTAACATAAGACTTGTTACCCTATTCAGCTGGAAAAAAGACACCTCATACACCTGGATATCTTTTGGTGGCCTGAGATGGCACTGGCAGGTCAAATGCACCTCTGGGATAATTCTACTGAGCCAAAGAGGCTGTACCAAAGAAGCATTTACTGAGCTGGCACAAGTGTGTAATGTTTATATTTGCTGTAAGGGGTTTTCACCTTTTCAGAAATGCTGTAATTTATTTTGGAGATGAATAAGTTTCCACCAGGTCAGAGTGAATCTGTTGGGAAAGGAGACCAGAGGACCTTTAACCCTTTCTCTCCCATGAGATGGGTATGGAGGTGGAATTGCCCACCCTGTAGAGGTTGCATTTGATGCTTAAACATGAACTTCACATAAGAATGTATTATTTTCAACCTCAGAAATATTTACCAAAAAATCAGGGATCACGACCTACTGGACAAAAGGAAAACAGTCACAGCCCTAAAAGCTGGGGAGGACCGGGCCATTCTCCTGGGGCTGGCCATGATGGTGTGCTCGATCATGATGTACTTCCTGCTGGGAATCACGCTGCTGCGCTCCTACATGCAGAGGTAACCCCCTGCTCCAGATGACTCCACCTGGCTTTTTCTTTTGGCTCTTTTTATTTGTC